ATGACGTTTCGAGCACATTTTATTGCTCAGTAAATATTACTATATAACAGTATGAGACTTTATCGAAATAAATTTTACCCACAATGGAGTTATACTCTGTTGATACTCCAACCTAAAAGTGAGAGCTATTTTTATCACATGTGAGGGAAAGGTATCCTCTGTAACACTTTTATCCAGTTTTTATGCATTTTTTTCATAAATATATGTATTTCATACACAAAAATGCCTCCTTCACGTGATTGGTGCGTTCGAGGCCACTGGCTGACTGGTACCTAGTGGTGTTTAAAGTTTAACTTGGCCTTCACAGTCTAATTTCCGATTTACTTCTCCCTGAACCCAAAGTTCAAACAACATTCACTGTTATATCGCCTAGGTAAGTGACTTAACTCGGCCGTTGAATGAATTTTGATTAGCTCTTAGCAACGCTAAAGTTGAGAATGTGTAGAGGAAAAACGGCTTCATGTTTATCGATCTAATCAGCGTAGAAAAATATCTTTTCCGTGACTTAATTCTTAAACTGTACAGTGATAATTATATATTTAGTCCACCTTTTGTCAATCATGCTGGAGACGTTTTGTATTATACACGTCTTTGGAGAACTTGCTTACAAAACGTCTGTTCTATTCACTTCCACAGAAGCATGTAAGGTAGTATATGCACAAAACAGGGGAAATAAACAGTAGTTTATTGTTTATAAATTATCAAAACACACTCTAATTCAATCATGATAGTCATAAGTTAGCCTCATTGAAACTGTATTTGATTCACTTCTAAAGACAATTGATGGATAGACAGAGTACTTTGAAATGCTAAGTCTTTCATCTAATGCTTTCAGGCTTTCAAAGGTTCTATAGCTCACACTATTTCCTGACGAAGGATATTTCGGTATATACACAAACTTTATACTTCCTCGTATGCTTGCATATATATATATAACTGGTTCATCCTGCTTTTTTGGAGTGAATCAATAAGGGTTTGATGGTTCACACAGAACAGAGCAAACTTTAGGGGTATTCAGTCACTAAAGAAGTAGTAATTAGTCATGTTCGGTTAACCTTCTTTAGACGAACGAAACTGGTACCCGACCCGCTTATATGCCATATTTTCCCAGTTATTTAATGGTTCACTTTTTGACTTTACAATGTGAAGTAACTGTAGATGAGTGATGTCTTTCTTGTATTCCTATTCACTTAACTCTTCGTCTCATATTATTATGGAACTGTATGCTGTAATCACTTGTAGAGAAAGGAACACACAAGATACGCATTCAGAAAGCATATGGTACAGTTTCTTCTTTTTGAAATGTCTTCACTGAAAACTTTATTGACTGGTCCTGATAATTTATATGCGGTCATGTTGTATACTTCACTTTCTTTCGACCTAGTATACAACTGATTCATACGGAATGGGATCATATGCGAATTTTCGGATTATAAAGCACTGTGTGATGCATATCGAACCGATGGTTCACGTATGGATTACAGTTTCGTAGTAGTGGAAACAATTTCGGAAGTGGGTGGGTTTCTGATGAGGGGACTAGATTAGCATACGCTGGTAAATCACGACACCAGAAGCATAATAGGAGAAATCATATTGCTGATTCGTTTTAACTTCATCATATATGATTCATAATAGACGCTAGTGGAGATCTTGTGTATTTTCGTGACAGTTAACCTATAATAATACTAATAATAATCTTAACGCCAGAAAAACAGTTCTTCCTGCTTCTATGCTTATTTAAACTCTTAACTTTGTTGCGTTTACTATTTGTTGAGGTTGTTTCATTTTTTGAGTCAATATGGTTTGTATGTCAGTTAGTGTTTCAGTATGTTAAGGTCCTTCATACTTGAAATAAAGTGCATTTTTTTCTGGTTCATACTGGATAGATGTACAACATTCCCTTATTTTCTTACTTCTTTGAGTTCCTAGTGGAACATAAGGCTTCAAACTTGAGCTTTGAAATCTCACTAACAGAGGTTACTGTTTCTTTTTCTAGGTGGAGTTGCTGGCCTAGAGCTCAGCCTTTCTTCTTTACGGAGCTTATTACAGGCTGTGAGGTTTAGGAGTGCGTCGACCAGGGATCGAACCACGGACCATATGCGTGGTCAGTGAATATTCTACCCCTGAACCACTGACGCAAGAGGGAATAAATTATTTTTGGACGTTAAGTAGTACTTTGAAATTCTTGATTAATGGAATTCCGATGAGCGGTTATATTTATTCTGTATAGATTTATATTTAGAAACTAACTGGAGAAAACTTCTAGTTTTATTTACTGAGCATATTAGTCAAATGAGGAAAATAAAATATGATTTATAGGTTTTTGAGCATGTGTATCTTCGTTCTGAAGTTCATGTGTGATAAAACTGTTAAGTATAACTTAGACTGCACTCACAAAGTTAGTTATGGAAGTTAGGGCAAACAATTAGGTTATAAAGCTTCATCGAATCAAGTATCTGGGATATATTTGCTCATAATAGTTCCCCATCTTCCTAAAAGAGTAATATTAACTGATGAATTTGAAGATAAGGTGATAGGAATCAAAGTGGCTCCAATCTATAAATTCTGTAAATGTATGACTGAGCCATACCAAGGTGAAGCTCTCAAGATGTTAAGAATTAATCGTTAGAGAACCAAAGTAATACAGAAGTAGTTATATTATTATTATTCCCTTGGTTTCCGAATGGAACATAGGGCTTCAACAACACATCTCGACTTTTCGCTAGACACATCGGCTGACTGGCTTCCTGAAGGCTTTTGGCAGCCCACGTCATTTCACCTCCGCGATTCCAGCGAAGAATAAGATCGGTTTTTGAATTTTTTGTATTTTTAATACATTTTTGCGTGTTGAAGTTTCTCTAGCGGTTTGATAGGTTTAGTGGTGTGGGGTTCCTAGCCTTATGCCCAAGCCTCCCTCTTTAGCTGGGCTTGGAATCGGCTAGAAAACTAGCAAGCTAGTTAACTAGACGAAACTATAAAGATTCCCACCAGTCTTTCTTTATTAATTCTTTCTTCTTTCACTAACAACTATTCGTTGTAGTAGAATTAAATAAATATTCTCTTAAACTTATGTAAAAAATCCACTAGCTAAAATAGGCGTACTTTGTATAAATTTCTACGTCTATCGAACAAATAGATCTACCGGGTGTTCATTTAGACAAATGAAAATCTTGACTACTATCATTAAAACTTTTATTCCTAATAGCGGAATGCTCTTCCAAATTCAACCTTCAACAAAAGTCTCATGATCAAGTGCCTGGTCGAAATAACATCATTATTGTTCAAAGTAATATTGATTATAGGTTTGCATACTATAATAGGTATTGATATCGACTAGCTTATAGAGAGAGCATGCTGACAGTTAACAAACTGTATGAATTAAAAGAAGTACCATTGTTGCACAGTGTGATGCATACATTTTACACAAGAAAGCACAGCATGTGTAATAATTACTTCTCAGGTAAATCGAATTGTCAGGTTTATTCAGCATTTTGGTCATAGCTTATTGGCCTTCAGGCTAACGCGTTGAGTAGAATTTCAAGTGTTTTCAGAATACACTGAGGCAAGCTATGAGGCGTTATCAATCAGAGTTTAACTGTAGCAAAGTTTTGTATACTTGTCACGAATCCTAAAGAGATATGTGGCACAGCGACTAGTCATACTATTATATTAAGAATGAATGTGTAAAAGGAGAACAGCCTGATATGTTAGTAGACAAAATAGGTTTCCCTCAACTTCGATATCACTCAAATATCATTAAAGTACTTATGAATGAAAGATTTCCGCTAAGGTTTTGATACAAGTATTTACCAACGAACCGACACATTATGTGACTTCAAACTAAGCTGAGTACATATAAATAATTAGGCATTAACATAATTTATTTCTAAATCTATTGACATAGGCTTTACAAAGTTTTTTCCCGGGAACCTTACTGATGATTGTTTAACTTTGAATTATCTGTGAGTAACATTAATAGCCTACCGTAGTGATTGACTATTGTTCAGGAAACTTATATACGCCTGAGTTTTAGTTTCACCTAAAACGGTCAATATATGAAGGTCACTGCTTACTAAGTATTAAAGTAATCATAAGCATACTGTGTTATTCGGATCATTTGGCTTAGTAGAAAGTGGAATGGAACTTTTGTAGGGTTTTACATGGTTATCTATTGGTTCCTAGTCTTTTTTAGGGATTCAGGTTTAGTTGGAGGATTTCAATATGAGCTGATATCAGTTAGAGAACCACTGAAAAACCACCTTGGAGTACTGGACAGCTATTTCATCCCAGTTTGGGACTCTTCAGCAGTACGCAAACACCGCCAGGGTTCGAACGTAGGACCTTCGGGTTGCAAGACTAGAGAGCTCGTAGACCATTGAGCCAGTGTATGAATTTCAACTTATGCCAATTCACAACATAGCGCGACCACTTCACAATGTCTTCATAGATGAGTTACTGCCTCACCTTCAACCTTCTGTACCCTACTGGTCACGGCTTCCCATTAGAACCGCAGGCAACTGCCTGAATTCGACCAGTTACTAGTGGGCATCAGATCAGTTTTCATGTATTGGTCTGTGAGCATTTTGTTTGATTAGTTGGAGGATTTCACCATGAATTGGCGGAATTAGCAGAAGTTGGAATTCATGCACTGGCCATTGGGTCGGGTCCCAGTGGCTGAATGGTCTATGAGCTCACTGGCGTTGTAACCAGAAGATCCTGGGTTCGACCCCTGGAAGTGGGTGCGTACTGCAGAAGGGTCCAAAACTAGGATGAAACAGCTGTCCAGTACTCCAGTGCAGGTTTTCCAATGCTTCTTTAAATGATGTCAGCTCATGATGAAACCCTCCAAACAATCAAACAAAATCCCTACAGACCAATACACGAGGATTCTTTTTTCTTGTATAACTCCGGTATATAACGAGAGCTTGTATGAATTATCAAGCAAAACATTTGGTATAATACTAAGATATAGTTTCAAAAATAACATAAAATAGCAAAGGGTTTGAAAGTAAAATTAAGGCAAACTTAGCATAAACCAATATTAGTAAACAATAAATAACAATAAATCACTGTTACTGTTTCTGTGAATATCCATTCCGAACAAAATTCAGTGAAAATAAACCAGAACTGTGCGTGTGTGTAGTTATTCACTTTTTCAAATAAAGGTGAACTAGATTAAAACCATAGTCAATTCATATTTCATGGTGTTACCTAAACTAAAAAGGTATAAACCATTAGACGAGAGAACACAAGAATACACACAGATAGACTGGAGCTGGTAATTCTGTTATATACTATTGCAATTTCTTCCGACCATTCTTTTCACTGTCATCCCCATGACTAATGCGAACAATATGCGTTGCTCCAGGTGATTTTGACCGATTCTCAGGATTATAACAGTTAATTTTCAGAACTAAGTCATCACCATTGAGTTTAATACTTTTTGAATCACTGATTTCCTGTTCGTAAGCATCATCATTATAGCGAACCACTCGACTCGGTGTGTTTGCTGCTGATGCTGATGAATTGACATATTTTGGTACAATTGGTGAATGAGATGTATAACCAGGTGATCTGTAACTGCTTTGGCTTTCCACTTTATGAATATATTCATCTTGATAGTTATAGGCATTATCATAAGGGTAGGCTAGTTGTGGTTGTGATCTAGATAAAGCTCTCGTGTGTAACAAAGGTCCATCAGCTTGATTTGCTTTCTCTTCAAATCTTGGATAACGTGCCAGTTGAGATGGTTTAGGATGATAAATTTCTGGTGTTGTACACTGTAGTGGAGTAGGACTAAGTGATCTGTTTCTATGCTGATGATTTGCACTGTCATTTGAATGACTCACTGGATATATAGTCGGGGAATAACCGAAAGCTTCACAGTCAGCATTGCTGAAGTTAAATATTTTCGGGGAATTCATACTACTGGAATGTGGAAAATCTTCAAACGACAGTGGTTTAACAGGTGATTTTAAAGCTGGCTTTTTTGAAAATCGACCCGAGGACTGTTTCTTTTGTGGTGATGGAAGTATCGGAGTAACATTTGCGTCTTTAGCATTTATTGTTTGATCTACATAGGATCCAGGTGGTTTTTGAGCATTCGCTTGATTTAAATAATAAGTGGCTTGTTGTTGTTGCATTGCCTTTTCACGATTTATCATTTCATGGTAGTGTTCAACATTTTTTTTCAGTATTGTAACCAATTTTTCTCGGTCATCTCGGCTAACTGATGAGAAGACATGAATTAGGCGTTTCCCTGGATTATAGGATTTAATGTCTAAGGCGAATTTTCTTTCATCTGCTCTTGATAAAATAACATCATATAAGCATCCATAGTTAATGCACAGTTCAGTTGTTCCTGGCCACCATAACGGTTTGTCTAGAAACATTTCTTTCTCTGTCAGCATTAATAGTAAACTTCTGTCAATATTGACAAATTTAACCAATCCATGCTTAGCTGATACTGGTGCATCTAAATGCTGTGAAGTGAATGGTGGTTGGTTCATGTCAATCTCTACACAGTATTCAATGAAAATTTTAAAATTAGGAAAATTCGACTTTGGTTGATTTGGACCCATTGTGGTTGGTGTTGTTCCCGGTGTCGAGGTTGATGTGGCTGATGGTGTTGATGCAGAAGACGTTGGTGACATTGGTGTGCCTGATTTTCCTGCAGATTTGGATGTAGACGATTTTAGTTTCATCGGTGTCATTGCCCTCTTTCTTAGAACCATTTCGATTTGTTGTGATAATGAATGTGTTACTATGAACTAGAAAGATAAGAATAATTTGTTGTGGAGACAGATAACAAGCGGAGTAGAAAAGTGAAACATTATTTTAGAAATACTTATTTTAATTATCATTTTTATATAGATGAATTTTAATTGGACAGTAATCGGTCTATCCTCGTTTTGTAAGTGTATGCTGCTGTGTGTGCATTTTCGTTTCAATGTGAACTCATGTTTTCAAGGATAAGGTGAAATACTCATTGTTGTGTTAAATAATGATTGTATGAAATGAATAAATGCTTAAAGTACTATACAATTATCTTATGAGAATAATGCTCATTACTGAATATTAATATTATTACTGGTAATAGAACTAAATGAAAATCTTTGTGCCATGTTATTTATTATTGTTATTATTATCTATAAGATAAAATCAATTCACTAATTGCAAGCGAAAAGCAACAAGTTGGCAGAAGAAGCATCAAAGATAGGACTTCAGGTGACCATTGAGAAAACAGAGGTGATGAAGATTCCTGGACAACACCATCAACAGCAACAACAACAACAACAGACAACAATCAGCATAAATGGGAGGAACCTGAAAGAAACAACATCTTTTACCTACCTGGGAAGCATCGTTTCAACTACAGGCGGAACTGACGAGGATATCAAAGGAAGAATCGGAAAAGCAAGACAAGCTTTCACTACTCTCAAGTCTGTGTGGAGGTCAACAACACTCAGCATCAAAAATAAGATCCGGATTTTCAACTCCAATGTGAAGTCAATGCTACTATACGGACCAGAAGCTTGGCCAGCGCATCATAAAGGGCATCTCAAACAAACTACAGACCTTCATTAACAGTTGTCTTCGCTCAATACTCAAGATCAGATGGCCGGCCAGAAAAGATCAGCAACAGGGATCTTTGGGAGCGAACCAACCAGAAACTGATTGTGCAACAAATAGACAGAAAGAAATGGAGATGGATTGGCCATACTCTGGGGAAACCATCAAGTGACATCACTAGACAAGCCATTGCTCGAGTGGAACCCGAAAGGGAAGCGGCGAGTTGGTCGTCAGTGCATGGGTGACTTGGAGGAGGTCATGTGAAGAGGAGATGAAAACGTGTGGGCAGACATGGAGCCAGGTGAAGACTCTAGCAGGGAACCGAACTCAATGGAGACGCACGGCTGAAGCCCTATGTTCCTGTAAGAATTAAAGGATACAATAATAATAATAATAATTGCAAGCAAATTAACCAGTCAAAATACAAGATGTTCAGCAAATTACAGATGCTATTTATAATACAATCGAATAATAAGTTGAATTCATTTGAGGTTCCTTGGTTCAAGCCTGTTTCTTTTGTCTCCTTAGGTTTCGAGTAGAACACAAGGATTCATCAGTAAATCTGCATTTCATCCAGTTTCTTGCTGTAGTCTTTAGCTGGTTCCACAACTGTCTATAGGTCCTCCATTTCCTTCTTCATGACACCGTTGGACATACACCTAACTCGTCGTTTGAAATTCGGGTTCCATTCGAGCGCCGGCCTATCGTGTGATCCATTTGAAGTCTCTGTTGCATACTTGTTGGGTTATGGGTTCTTGGTTGGTTATTATTATTATTATTGGTAATAATCGATAAGTATGAAAGGAAGGAATATCATGAACTTGTTGCTCAGTTCCTTCAAGGATGTTCTGCGGAAAACTAGTAATTTTTGTATTTATCTCAGAAAGCAAGATACTTTTTCAGCAGAGCACAATTCAGGGACGAAGTGTAGATAGATACACTTGAAATCATGTAACATTCCAAAGCTATCACATGATTTAAGTTGACGAACCTTAGATAATAGCTATCTATGGATATTGATTTTGTGTCTCTTATTAACTAAATTTAGTGTAGTGGGTTTTTCTTCTATTCCTTTATATTCTGAGGAAAACAAATAGGGTTTCAAGCTCCACCTTTAATGTTTCAGTAGCTGTATTGCTTCTTATATGGCTGAGGTTGCTAGCCTCATATTGAACCTTCCCTATTTACCTCGCCTATTACCGGTTAAGCAAGGTTTGGCAGTGCTTTGGCCAGTAGTCGACCCTGCACTACGTTCCTGGGCATTCTACTATTGAACCACTCCCTCACAATCTAGTAGTAGGAGGCCAAATTCTTATTGATTTGTCATAAAACGATCATGCTAGTCCAATGTATAGTCCCCATTATCAAAATGAACCACTGGACATGGGAATTTGTTAGACAGTGATGCAGTATGGTTCAAAGTTTCGGAAGTCAAAACACTGAGTTTTCGTATGCTTATAGACTGTTTGTATAGGTCGACCTGAAACTCAAAACTGTCATATGACTGTCCTCTAATAAGCTCAATTAAAGATGAATACCTAGAAACATGTAATCTCATCTTTGAATAAGGCAAGAACAACAGTTTGTGCAGAATAAAATGGTACCATCATTTATTTCTTCCGCTTCTCATCAGCTGCTTACAGGCCAGAGATATTATTAAGTTTATGTGCAGAAAAAATCTTAACATACTTGCGCAGAGCTCATTTTTAAACAAAAATCAGTCAATCAATGTATGCACACAACGCTAATAATAATAATAATAATCACTTTATCCCAAACAGCAATAATAATCATACATAATGGAACCTTTCTGCGTTACATAATCAGATGAAAGAGAGGGTGAAAACATCCAGTTACCAGGGCAAAGAAAGACTGATAACTGCTTTTTTCTGAATGCATAAATCGGGTTGCAGACGCCTGATTGAGATTGCTTCAGCAAACTTGAGGTGAACTGAACTCTTTTGCCTACTGATAATTTTGAAAGATCTTGTAACGTCTGTCTCATAACCCGTGGCAAGGAAGTGCCTGATAATGGCAGTGTTGAAAGTATTTGTTCCTTGAGACGTAGGCTTTTTGGTACATGTTCATAAACTCGGAGGTATGCCCTTTTTTCTGTTTTTCCAATGTGACTGCTCCTGCAGATACACATAAATTTTTATACACAGTTGAAGTTAACATGAGAAGGGTATCTGTCAACTTTTGATTGCACCAAAGGACATGTTATCCAATAAACGGAGACGAGTTTAGCTGCAGTAGATTAGAAAAGCAGTTCTGAATTCTTTTGTAAATAGGAATCAGCGTGTCCTTTGTTTAGTGTCAACAATAATGTCACTTATCAGATATAACAAATACTACACCAGTTGCATTATTAACAACCAAAATAGCACATAATTATCGCGAGTCATGTGCTGAGTTAGATAGACTGTATATTTACATTTATTTTGGATTACATGTCAGACATTAGGGATAGATAGATAGATAATTTGACCTAGGAGAACAGATTTTTAGTTTAATCATCGACATATGTCAAGTATTTATTTGTAACACCTTGAGGAGTCCCAAATGGCCAGTTAGCTTTCACTAAATATGGACAATCATAGTCATTTACCTTAAAAACTCGCTTGTCATTCAGGCAAACTTTATATTTCGATGTATTATTAGTGAATCAAGTCCATCAGAGACACTGGTATCTACCTGTTATACTTGGGCAGTTATCGATTTTTAAGAATTTAAACTTTTAGTTTAACAGTAAAGGAAGGAATAAAATAATTGCAACACTCATGTTAGAAAGTATTCTGCTGCTACAATAGTAGTAGTAGTAGTGTAACGACAGGAGACAAGACACTTGGGGACGGAATGTTTTTTTGGAATTTGGTATCTCTATATAACGAAATTACTGAAACTCTCAAGCAAAACAACTACCCAAGGAACTTCATCAACAAAATCAACACAGACATTAAGTATGGCCAAAAATGCATTCCGAAAACATGGACCTCGACAGTCGTCATTGCATATAGAGCCGACGCACACCTGATATCAGTAGTCGGCCAGCAAAATTTGGGCTACTGATATCACATACTGAAAATTCCATAGTTGTACCAAAAAATACGGTGTGGAATCAAGCTATAATCAAAAATTAGAAAAAGATTTTTTTAAAGAATTACTTTCTTCTCTTCCTAATAGTAAATCTATCAGCAATGTTTCCCTTTTCAGAGATTGTTGGGAGGATAATGTTTACATAGATTCTGAGATACACTATACACTTGTCAGTTAGCACTTTCATTCGACCAACCTAAAATGTACGTATATGAAACATGTGAGTGAACTGTCTTAAAGGGTTGAAGAATATCAGTCATAATACCCAGACAGTGTGTCTACGTTTCCATGGTGACCACTATCAGAGTGATAGGCACGACAGGTATTGAAACAGTGCACAAACCAATCCACAACACCTGGTTTAGTTCATTGAAATCAACAGCTAGCAATTTCTTTATGCGTTTCAGTTTTTTAATGAATAACTTAATATAATTCAGGAGGGTAGGTGTTATGACACTGATTCGATGGTAGTTTAGTGTACCTTGAACCTTTGATTTTTTTTTTTGTTTCAACGCATTCACCCACTTTTGGCGCCACATCATCTTGTGTTTTTTCCGAAGTGACTGTACACACGTGGTTCGTTCCATTGTTGGGCTACCTTTCAGCGCACTCTTCAAGCCTACTGCCCTGCCGAGACATCAGATAAGTTGTATAACATGCTCATTCATTAAAATTGATATTTCATTCGTGTAAAATACAACTCTCATCAGGACACAGTACTCAGTCTCAGGTCTCTTTACTTTGATTTCGTCAGCGAGGTAGAATACTTATAAGGTTATTAAGCAGTGAAATGTTTAGTAAGTGAGGTTATTTGAGGTCTATCTTAAGTATAACCCAACACTTACAGTAGGATGCTGGCTGAACACTCCTTTCGGTCTGGGTTTCCTATTCACAGCCCACTTGCGTCTAAACCTCGATAGTAAACCCGGAGAAAGAAGGAATATGGCGTGTGTTTGTGTGTGTGTGTGTGTGCACGTCACCATTACTATCGCTAACGGAACTACAAAGCATGAAGCCTTGTGTTCCACTCAGAATGCTAAGCAATAAGAAAACAAAGGTGTTCTGTCCAAATGTTAGCAATCCCACCATCCTCCATCTATACTCGTAAATCCAACAAGTGGAATTCC